CCGCTGCTCGTGACTCCCGCGAGCCCACCCGCTGCTCGTGCCTCCCGCGAGCCTTCCCGCTGCTCGCGACTCCCGCGAGCCCTCCCGCTGCTCGCGCCTCCCGCTCCCTTTCCTTTTCCCGTTGCCGCTGCCGCCGCTCGCCGCTGCTTCCTCGTTTCTCCGTCAGGCTCAGTATACAGTATACTCTTAATATTAAGTTTATTTGAATTTTGAAATGATTAATTTTCAATACTGTTAATAGATTAATAATATATTATTTTGATTTTAATGTTGTTAATTTTTATTTTGATGTAAAATTTTATTGTTTTGAATTTTGAAACTTTTTGTTAATGTAACATTGTGATTTTGTATCTTAGATTTTCTTAATTTAATAGCATATTTTTATTTAAAATTTTAAATAATTATATTTATTAATTATATTATATATTTTTATATTTTAGCGCCTCGCTTCGCTCGGGCGAGCGCCTCGGACGTTTTTGGACCTTGGCGCCTTTTGGCGCCTAGCACTTTTTAAATCACTGTGATAGCGTTCATTACATATATTTTTATAAATATTTAGTGAAAAGGTGCTAGGAATGTAATTTGATCACATCAAAGAGTTGTATGGGGATATGAAGTGCTTTTGCTGACACTGAAGGAGTGGTGTTCAACAATGTGGGTTTAGAAAACATTTCTTGAAAAAATCTCCTGCTCTCAAAAACCTAAAGTTGAAGAGGTGCTCAACCTGATATTCTTCTTCTTCAAATTTACTTTGTCTCTGTAATCTCATTGCCTGCACAACAGATTCGAATTGATAATCTCAAAATTGTTATTGTCCTACACTGCTTGTAGCAGTAAAAGAATGAAGCACTATCTCCTTGTTTTCAGGCACACTGAAGCTTGGTCATTCGTTTGAATTTGTGCATTTCCTATAAGAAACTTGAACTACATTAGAGCATTAATACCAAGGCAGGAAAATATAACATAGAAGTCCTGTGAAAACCTACGAGCTGTTAGTCAGCATGGTTAATTTGATATGTCAATCTACTTTTTACATGGATTTTGTCACTATAGATTCAGTTCTTGATGGTTACGTTCTCAGTGCATGGTTTGCAAAATGGTTTGCAAAATCATATTTTTGTAGTCATTCATGTTTATGTTATTTGAGATTCATTTGCCACTGTAAATAATTTAAGAGGCTTTTTTTGACAACCCTTTAGATGCTGTGAGTTTTTGTAGATAAATACTCTATATCTTGTTAAAAATTTTCCAGATTCTGTGTTTTTCCTAGATGCTTCATTAATTTTTCATTTGTTAGCCAAGTAATGTTTCATTTCTGAGGACCAAACTTTGAACTACAGAAACATGCAGGGTGGTATACATTCCTTGATCTTCTGGAGTGCTTACGACATCTTCGCTTTGAACATCTTAAATCATTTGCAGGTAGTTTTATTCATTGATTTGCATAACATATTTCTCCACATACTTAAATGTGAAGTTATATATTTTTAGCTTTCCACTTAATGCATTTACAACCTTGCAATCATCAACTACCATCGATATGTTGTTGCACACTTGCACGTACCTTTAGTTGGATATTAAAACCATGGTTTATATGAATTAATCCTAATTCTCTTGCTTCTGCACAAATTAAATGAACTTAGTTTGTGATTTTTATTGTCTGTGTTGCAGTTCAGTGGCTTGAAAGAAGAAGCAAAGCATTTGAACCAACATACCTGTACACTACAGAGAAGGTAACAGAACAGCATATCCAGATATGATTAAGCTGCTGACTAGAACCTCTTTGCATCTGATTACATATGCAGGAACTGTCTATCCAGTGCCCATGATAAGTGTAACATCTATTGCCTAAACATATATTTTGCAGGGATATTTCCTGCTTTCAGAAGGGGCTAAATCTCGTCATGATATACGAACTGTTAATGCTACAATATCTGCTCAGAGTACATGTTTTGGGAACAGGTGACCTGTATGCTGTTTTTTTGGGATATTGGATCTTATTATCACAACATAATAATTTACATTATTCCCAAAATTAAATGAAATATGTGAATTTGATTTTTTTTCTAAATAATGAAATTTTAAGAGTTTTGGAAGTGCCTATTTGATTGCAAATGTTGATTGTGACTGTTTTTAGAGAGTCATACTTCAAACTTATTTTTCTAGGCCTCAATACTCATGTTTAAATGGTAAGGGAAGTTAGGGCACCTATTTGAGAGCATATCTTGATCTACATCTGATTGTTCCTTGGTCATGATGTTATTCATTGTACTGGCCGCATCATCAGCAAAGAAGCCCCAATTTCTTTTTTCTTTGGGTAGGATACATAATATAAGTTGATTTCTTCAAAGACAAGAAGCTATATGTTCTGATGTAGTACCATGCTATTGTCATTTTCCATTGATTTATAATGTAAAATTATGTTTTTTCCCGATTCCTAATGAGCAAATTGACATATTTATTGAAATGCATATAATCTCTTAATAGGTGGCAACAACTTCTCATAAACAGCTTTGTTGGTTATGATACTATTTTGATGAACAGCCTTCTAAGTTCTCCTGGTCATGGTGAGGATTCTCTGTTAATGAAAAATTTTCTTGTTCCTCTTTTACTGTTAATGAAAGATTTTTCTTGTTCCTCTTGTATTTTCTGTTAATGAAAGTTCTCTTAAGCTTTGATAATCAAAGTTTGATTACTGCTCCCAACTAGCTTTTTCCCTTAATACCGTTGTTAATTTTTGTTCTGAAAGCTTTATGTTTTTCGCATAAAATGCCAAAGCAGCCAAACCATGTAAATTTTTTTCTTTCTCCATGATGAACCTAATTTGCCGAAGTGGATCTACATAGTTTATTACAAAGAATTAACTTCTACTTTGGCAAGAGTATAGCTTAGATGGGTACAAAGCCATCCCGTACCACATAAATTTTCTGCTGCTTCTCTATGAATCATTCACATTGATGATTATGCAAGTGATCCCTTTCATTTTCTGTACAAACAAGTTTAAACTTCCTATTATGGCTATCACCTTTACATCTTTATTCTTTTCTCAGGTTTATTGTCACTTTAAACAAGATTTACCCATAAACACATCATCCAAAATTCGATTATACGATCGGCTAAATGAACAGAGAGAATGAAATGTTATGGGGAAGACATCAAACTAGATTTCCATAGGTAAATAGGAATGAGACCATAGCTATCCATCAATACCACAATCAATACATGAAAATATTTAGTTTGCCTTGATCTGCTTAATGTTATTTGTATTTCAGTGTCCAACCAATTAGTATCTAAACATGCTTCTTTCATTTGTAGTTATTCATGTGGATTAAGTAATTTTTCTCATTTGTGGGAAAGGATTGTAGATCAAGGTTTTTAATCTCGTATTGTACTGGCGTAGCAAGCGGTACACCTAAAATAGACATAAAATCATTCAAAATTACCTGAAAAAAAAAAAGTTAGGATAGGGTTTTTAACTTAGAAATAAATATACATTTAGTATAGTTTTAGCAAAACTAATATAAATTAGGTAAGAATAATGCCACATCTTTTTCGAGCTTTGAGGAGTAGCCTTGTGCAAGGTTTGCAATTTTAGTCGGTTTCGAATTATCCTTCCGTTAATATTGAATTATCTGCCGAAAAATTATTTGAATTGTTAGATTATCTTGTATACAACTTAAATTTTAAGATTCAAATGAATTAATTAATCACATATGTAGATATACCTGATTCTACTACCAAACTGAACGACAGGCCTCCACGAGTGGTGGATCGGGGTCTTCAATCCTATATATTTGTATATCAATATGATATTTTTATCGGACCATTGATCCATCAACATAGTATATTGATATATCGTATGTCATTAGTGCATCAATGTGGTGATAGTCGTAGGTCGATCGTTGTGAATCCACACATCATTGCTTTGTTGAGTTTAGGAGAGTGAAAGTATGAAAATAAGAGAGAGATTGTGAGTAAAAATGAGTTTGAGAGACTGTGAGAGTGAAATGAATTGAAGGGGGGAGAGGAAAGGGTTTAAAAACCCTTTAAGATGCCTCCAATGGTCAAATTGATCAATTGGTAACGGTCGGTTTCGATCGGTACAGGTTGGTAACGGTCGAAATTTTGATTGTTACAATGTGGTACAGCCCTGTATCACCTGATACGGGCAAAAAATCTGATACTTGGCTGGCGGACCGGTGCGTACCGCCCATATCGGACAGTATGGTATGGAATTAAAAACCTTGTTGTAGATAAAAATATTTTTCAGAATGCATCTCTCGAATGGTTTCTTTCTTGTAATAATTGCTTTGTGAATAATGCAGGCTATCTTTATAATTTCCAAACGAAGGAATTTTATGATCTTAATTATGGGCAAGAAACATCAGACGGTCCTACTCGATTTGGGAGTATGTTGTTTGCAGAAGAACTTTAGTTCGACTTTGTTAAATGTTTTAAGTAGCTCATGTCTTTCCTGATTAAGTTTTTATGGATGCTTATTTGCTTCCTGTATTTTGATGATTCCTCATATTGTTATGCCTAGAGATACTGTCATATATATTTAAGATGCTGATGTTCTTTTTATGTTTTGATAATGTGTTGGTTATTCTAGTGCTTAATTTTTGTGCTAATGATGACTAGATCCTTACTGATCATATCAAACGTTTGCAACTTTATCAAAGATATTGTGTTTGTTTGTATGGTCTTCGCATTGTTCAAATAGAAAACAGTGACATTGAGAAATACAGCATTCATATGTGTCTCAGGCATCCATTTCCCTTCCATTGTTGGAAGAAAATCGTTCTTTCAATTATATTGCATTGAGTTGCCCTACTGCCAAACTAGTGCACAAGGCTTCCACTAATGAAAGGACTTGGAAGGATTAATGTGCACAAACATACCCTTACAAGCAGAGATGTTTCCTTAATTGGTGTCCTGATTACCCAGGTCACAAAGGAGAAACCTTATTATTGTACTAATGATTGCCTTCTAATTCCTTTACTGTCACAAGATATTCTTCTTTTTTGTGACTGATCAGGTTTACTTGATTGCAAAGTTGTCAAATGGACCTAAAGCATATTTGAATTCCCTGTGACATCTTACGGTCAAAGCAAGATAATAAAAATTACCACCATGATTTATATTTGATGGTTTGCAAGACTAGTAAATGTGTCAACATTAGTTTAGAAGGCTAGGATCAGAGAATCTAATATTTAGTGTTATTGAGATGTATATGAGATGTTTTTTCCCCCTTCTGTTTTAAGTTAGATGAAGATTTATGTCTGTTTATGATCTTTTGGATGATATCATTTCTCTTAGATAGCTATCTGGCTTGCAATGGAGGATTGATATTTCCCACTGAAAGTGCGTACAGATTTGTGTTTGAAGTGCTCAGTTACATTTATAAACATATTGGCCCTTTGAATACTCTTAGTTAGCTTTTCTTGTTGGTGGCCTCGGTATAGTACTATAACTTTGTGAGAACATAGCTGTCTCTAATTGATCGTTAAGCTTTATCTAAACCAAAAAAGGTGGGCTAGTGCAGGATACTTATTCTGCAAGCGAAGTGACTATTCCATAATTTGAACTCTAGCCATCCAGGTGACCAAGGTGTCATCTTACCATGGTGCTAAAGCTTGCCTTTTAAGCTGCCTTTTTCTTAGACCTGTATCTATTCATTCAAATCATGATGATGGTCATATGACTATGATTTTAGTATTATTGTAACATCATTCATGCTTAAAGATTATAAAGCTTTATAGTACACTTACTAAGAATTGTCATTCAAGCATAGTTTTTAATTATAATAAAAGTTTTTCATGTGAATTCAGTTATCTGTGATTTTGGCAATTACTTCTATTGAGGTGATTGATGTCCTTGTTTCAGCAAACATGATGAAATTCTAATATTTTCTACCTAAATTAGTTTCATTTCTGGCCTGTACAGATTACTTTGTCACCAAATGTGGTGTGCTTATAATGTCCTTGTTTGTTTTCTTCACTACAACGATGTCTGTTTCATTCACTTTGAGGGAAACACAGTCTCGTATGCTTCGGTTCACAGGTTTGCCTTTTTTTGGTTTGTCAACTGTAATGTGTGAATTATAATTAATGATGCAATTTTAAGGTTTTCATTCTCTTGGGTCACTGCAGTGCAGCTTCAACACCATGCTCGGAATCACCTTCCCACATTTCAGTTAATATTTGTGCATGTAATTGAGTCTCTGGTTTTTGTACCTGTAAGTTAGAAATATGACATTCAACTTTTCTCAATGGTTCCTCATTTGTCATTTTCTTGAACGTATAATAGTTGATTGGTAGTTTGGTACAATTTCTTATCTAATTATTTCAATCCTTGGCTGCTGCAGATTATGATTGGCATCCTATTTTTTCTATTTGAGTTCTATGATGACCAACTACTTGCATTCCTGGTCTTAACCCTTGTGTGGCTATGCGAACTGTTTACGATGATCAGGTAACCCTTGCTTGTTTGTTTTCCATGCAATCTGCCATCCATATCTACAATTGTGCACTCAGTAAACATAATACATAGCAATCATGGTTTGATACTGGCAGTCGTATTTCGTTGGCCTGATAGGGTACTGCATCACTGTGCCACTTGGTATGGGTCAATAGTGGCCAGCCAGCCGGATTTAGTTCAGGACCCATCCAAAGCATTTTAGACCCATTTTTTGATATATTTGCCTCAATAATGAATTGGCATATTTATCTAAAACCCATTAAAGTAAAAGAACCAATGTTTGCTGTATTGCCTACGTTCGACTAGTGATTGACACACGGATTGCTCGAGGCTCTATCGGCCCTAGTGTACCATGTGTTAATAGTTAATGCACTATGTTGGTACACCGGTACAAACTAGTACATACCGACCCAACAAATCTCCGAAACGGGTCTGGTACCCGAAATGGTGAACCCTGAAAAGAACTACTAAAAGATGTTGCAAGTATCACATGATACATGATTTGTGTTATCTAGACTAGATCTACATGTTGCTAGCTTAGATTGTATTGATCTTGATTTGATCCACACATATTTATCTTAAATATATGTGGATCCAGGTCGAATTTTATTGCAAGTAGCACAGATGTACTTGAATGTTGGCCAATCCACAGATTATGCTTGGTTCCTGCAAATTTAGGTGCCATGTATATCTTAGTTAGATCTGCATGAATCAACTTAGATACAATTAGGTCTATGATCCATCCTTGTAAGAATTGCAAGGAAAAGGGTACGTAGATCTAGGGAAACAACTTCAACTTGTGAATTAAAGCATGATCAAGGGCAAAAGCTGAACATGAATTAAGACATTTAGAAGTCAAATTAGCAAAAAAGAAAGAGGAAAGTATCAAGAATAAGTTTGTATTTGCCTTACTTTGGAGAAAATAACCTCTTTTCCCTGAGATCAATGCTTGATTTGAAAGAGTTCTTTGAGAAATAAATCTTTTGATGGAGAAAACTAGTTTTATGAAAGTGAGAGTGAAGGGGAGTTTTATGCGATTAAAAATAGTCAGGCTGGCTTCTAATTGGATATCCAGTGATTTTCTTCTGTTTTTTATGTTCTGTAACAAATTCTAAATTTTCCTGTGAACTTTTGGATTTTATGATGTCACTATCTAATTTATTCTGTTTGTGGTTATTTTGTAGTGTGCGGACAACAATATCAATGCAGTTCTTTCCTCGATTTTTCTTGCTCTATTTCCTGGTGTTCCATATTTACTTCTTTTCTTATCCTTATGGTAGGTTTTGTAATGTTTTAAAAGTTTCTTTAAATACATGCTGCCTCAACTTGATCAAGGTTCTTTTTCTAAAACTGAATGCTGATAATATTTGCCTATATTAATTCCACTTATTCTCTTACAGGTTTTTCTTATTTGGCCTTTTCTGCAACTGCAGCATTTATGCAACACTTGATCCTTTACTTCTGGAACCGATTCGAGGTAAACAATTTGTTGGCATAGTGAGATGCTAAACCTTTTGTTGGTGATATAAGCATTGTGATCTTTCATGGCAAAATTTTGGCTTGAAGTTGATACTAAACCCATACCTTATGCGACGGGGGTTTTGGTGATCTTTGATTTGGTAAATTTAATTTGATCTACTCTCAAAATGGAATTTCATGTGTGGATCGCCCGAAGAACATTAAAACGAACTCTTTGGAAGCATGGTGCATAAATGAGAAACATCAGAGAGATCATTGCAAGCCATTTTCTCAGTCTCTTTAAAAAGCCACTTAAATTCTTTCCTGCTCAAGAGTATATAGTCTTCAATGCAGAAACCTAGGTAGCAGTCTGTGTAATGGGTATGGTATTTTGGGAATTAGAACCGTTGGGCCAAATGTTCTTTCTTTTGCTTTTGTTCTCAATGTCCTTTAGAATATTCCTTTGCCATTACTTGTGATGAGACCTCATTATTAACTATGATGACATTTTTAAAGCTTCACTTGTCATTGAGGCCGAAATTACAAACTGAAGTAGTGTCTCAAACTTTTCTGTTGCCTCTTGTCATCACAATTTAAATGACTTGGCTATTTGCCAAGTCATGTCATGATCGATGAGAGCTGAGTAAATAGAAGAGTTGTTGCCCAATCTATGCTGCTCACCTTTTATTTTGTTTTTATTATTTTCATTACTTTTTGAGAAGGTGCTCATCTTCTAATTCATGTATTCTTGTAGATAAGTATAAAGGTAACAATATTATGCATTATGATTTTCCATCTCATTGGCAGGTGCCTGCCCTACAAAGATTTATGAGAGCTCGAGCTCAGCTGCAGCAACAGACTGGTGTTCAGATCACATCATCGACTATTTACACATCTACACTCCACATCGCAAGAGTAAGCTTGCCTAATGGCGATGTGGCTGATAATGAGCCCAGAGCAACAGCACAAACCTCTGCAGGTTCCAATCCTGCTGGTGTGCCTGATCCCTCGGGGCCCTTTGGAGTTAACTCCGAACCTCGTGAAGTTTCAAATCTTAATTCTCATCAAACAGCCGGTGCGCCTGGCACCGGCCTGCTGAACAGTTACGGATCTCTTATGCTCTGATTACTAGGTGGTGCCTCTTCCGGAGGAGGCATAGTTTACTTCCTCTCTATGTTCAGAGACACTCCCGAAACCAAGGCTGGGTTTATTGAGAAAAGACACCACAATGGAATGAACCATGGACATGGATTCTTGAGGAAGGATGGTGGCTGCTGTTTCATATGGGGAACACATCCTCAGATGTCTGAAGGTTAACTATATACATTAAAAAAAAAAAGAAAAGAAAGGGAGAGAAGGGAGAGGTAAGAGGGATGTGTGAAACCATGATCAGGCTTTTGAAGAAGGCTTTATGCTTGTGTCTCACTGTTAGGAAAACAAAAAAAGAAAAAAAGGAAGAGCCATTTGTTGTGTATAGTCAGTCTGTAGGCACCACACCAGTGTAGTAATTCCTGATCAGGATAGTATTAACATTGGCATATGTTGTCTTTATTATTATTTTTTTTCTTCTTGTAATAATACATACATACACACTGATGATATGTCAGCTCGAGTTGCCGAGAAACTCGGTGCCTGCAGAAGAGCTAGTCTGTATTCTTGTTGTCTTTTATTCTTGTTCGTGAGATTTCTTTGATGATTGGAGGAGGGGTTGCGAATTTTGGCATATGTTACACATACACACTGATATGTCAGCTCGAGGATAGTATGTATGATATGTGGAATAATACATACACGCTTGATCGCATCAGGCCAATAATGTTCACCCAACACCCGGTCATGCTCTTACGATGGACGGTCGACCTGTGTTCTCTCTTACGGACGTTGCAGTGGGTCCCCTGCTTCCATTCGTAAGGTAATGACATCACACGTCCCGATCCAAAGGGACATCGACTTTTTCTCTTTTCCAGGATACTCGGTAGCTTCAGAGAGTCTTGTGATCAGAGAAAACCGTGGGGGCCATTGTTTGCTCCATCTAACAGGGCAGGTATTCTTTTCGGGTAGAAAACGAGAACGTAAGTGAAAAACTCGAATAACATGAATTGCTTTGCTATTCTTACTCTTACTCCCCGCCGGTGGTTGCCATCCCTTTTCGAATGCTGCAAGCGGGATCGAAGGCGACTCCCGGGCTCGGCTCCCTTTTTCCTCCTCCGACATACCAAAACCCTAGCATTCTTCCGATCGAGTGCTAGGTTTCGGGCCGATTCCTTCCGCAAGCGATGGCATCGAGATCCTCGCGGCGATCCCCGCTGATCCTTACGACCGGCTCCACCTCGCGAGGCCGATCGCCTCCTTGGCGATCTCTTCCCGGGCGCCTGCGCCAGAAGGTAGCCGACCGGGACCGCGCGATCGAGCATCTCCGGGACAAGCTCTCCCGTCTCGACCGACCGCTTGTTCCATGCGACGCTTGAGGTGAACGTGAGGCGGTTCGGTGGCTGATTTGCTTGCATATTCTTGTTCTCGCTTGAAAATCGATTGGCTTATGGTGCTTTCTTTTCTTTCGTTCGATTGCAGGCTGAGCGTGATCTGTTTTTTATTCTTCGATCTATGATTCATCGTATCTTCCATCTCGGTCTTGAGTTTTCTTGATCGAATGCAAACTCTATTGTGCCATTAAAACACATAAATAGTCGTAGTTTTCCCCATTCGTCGATGAACGATGATGACTGGTGAGGGAAGCAGAGGACACGAGGCATGTGACGAACGTGCCATGGAAACCCTTAATCGGGAGCGTAACGTGTTTTTCTTGCTGCAACCGATGGTTGTTTTGCCGTAATAAAATAGTATAATACTATAATGAGCTTTATTTATATCATTATGTGCTTTTCTTCAAGTCTAATAAACATAAAAAAAAAATGGCTTTATTGTGAGATGATTTATTTTGTGAATTTGTAGGAGTATGTGAACTACTTTTCTTCATATAAATATTGATATGCAATTAAATCTTGACAAGTTTTGGATTGATTTGATTCTGCAGAACTGAATGGAAAGATGGATGATATGATATGAATGGAACACGGCAATTGTTCATACAAAAGACCACTTGGTTTCAGATATCGGTCGCACCAGTACGTTACGTACATCGGTATATGATACGATCCATTCGTATTATTTGTTCCGATGATACCGGGAGGGGTATAAGTGGTCGTCGGTCCGACAGATTGCTGAAACCAAGATCGAGTATGTTTGCCCTTTCAATTCTTCTCCTTCTACAGCTATAAAACCAGTTGACGGGAACCGCCAGGAGATGCGATGGTCAGCTCCAAGTTGAGGAGGTGGTTGGCAGCCGAGGCTCCACAGCCGGTGGAGCCGTCACCCGAATTGGTGCTCCTCGGAACTGCAACTTCAGTTGCATCCGAGGAGTGTATACTCGAACCCGAATCAGTCTCTGTTGACTTGTGATGGTTGACCGATGAGAGAGTCAGCTCGCAGTCGTCCATCTCTTCTTCCATCTGCATTAAAGATTTTTTTGTTCTTTTAATATTTTCCAAAAGATAAAATGGTGAAGATAGATGGGATTCATATGTCAGTTTGTTTGGAGGAAGTTGATGATGATGATGATGATGATGATGAGGTAGATTTGATTTAATGGGGGAGAGCAAACCTTGTGATTCTGGTCCGACACCCGATCTGGATGAATGTTGCTCTTCCTCGAGACCCACTCTCTCAGCAACTCTTCCACCGACGGCCTGCACAAGTCTTACACGAGCGTTAAAGAGCGTCACACTAGATATGGTGGGTGGGGGAGCTCGACACCTACATTTGGAACATGTACTCGCAGATGAATGCGGAGCTCCGGTGTGGATCTTCGGGAAGACCTGATGAATCATGCGGTGGTCTCCTTGGCCTTTTCAGATTTTCTGCAAGTTTGGCTGAGCTGCTCGTGATTCTGTACATCTATCACGGAAGAAGACAGACAGACGGTGAGAGTTGTAAGGAGAGAGAGAGAGAGAGATTAATTTCCTGCACTCGTCCTCGGTAAAAGAGCAGTGATGTTTGCAGTAGTCGGAAGGATGGGAACATACATACCTGCAGATGGCTTTTGACGTGAGATATGGTCAGACCCTTCACACCCATCAGCTGTAGAATCTGCTTTGGAGTTGCTTCTGCGGACAACAAGTAGGATGGAATTGAGATCAGCACGACCTAATTAATTAATCTCTTCTTCTCGGTGCTACCATCGCTTTGATTACAACGAGCATACAGTTTTCGCATTCCCATGTTGTGACAGTGAAAACGATATGCCCATTTGATTCATCATCTTATACGCTTCAACATTCTTGCGATGAATGTTTAAGCGGTTGGGAAAGAGAGAGCTTCAGGATTTCTACTTATGCCTACAGCTTCGAAGAAGCGGCTATATGAATGAGGCTATCAATATTCTTATAATCGTGTACTAGAATTACAATTTAGATAGATAGATAGAGTTGCAGTTAAGGGTATATAGACTTACTGTTCCGTCCTCCAAGCACATGGACAGCGTCAACGAAGCGGCCATGAAGCTCCTCCGTCCACCGAATACGCGGTGTTTCTGATCTGTTGTACTGTCTCACCCCTCTCCTTACCAGGCATGTCATCTCTTCTTCTTCTTCTTCTTCTTCGTCTCTATCTCTTTGAGCTGGTGCAGAATGATTACTACCACCTGCTCCGATCCAACACAAGAAATCGGAGCTGCAATTCATCCGAGAGCTTCTATATGTAGGTTGGGCTCTTGTGACTTGTTCCAGTCAAACATGTTTTATTTCTCCAAAAAGCAGAACAAAATTCTGGTCTGAGAAAGGTACGCCCTGTTCTTTCCCACCTTACGACATCCATGACGTAATGCAAACTTTGGGTTGTATCTATCTGTGTCGACAACAAGAAACTCTCCCACACTTGAGTAGGAGCTTTTTGGGGTGAATCGCTGTTTCCCCTCTCACGAAAGCTTAGGGTAATATGACCAGCAAACGTGTCATGCTAGCAACCCCAAGTTCCTTCCAACCTGCATTTTTCACATGTGATGATGATGATGATGTGCTGCAACTTTTGCTGCTTCCTTTTCCATGTCCCCATTTATATTTATATTTATATTTATATTTATATTTATATTTATATTTATATTTATATTTATATTTATATTTATATATAAAAGAAAGAAAGAAAGAAAGAAAGAGAGAGAGAGAGAGAGAAAAGTGTGGCATTGTTTAATGGAAATTGTTTTGTCTCCATCAACTCTCAATTTTCTTGGTCACGTCTCCAGCTTGACTTGATAGGCCCGCGGTGTCCTCCTTTTTCCTGCACATGAAAGATGTAGTAGGTTGGCCACTGTCTGAACCGGTCGACCGCAGCAAAAACGTGAAGGCAGTGTGAAACTCTCCGAGGCCGTCGTCACGCGTCGTAGCCAGCCGGTTGGATTGCTTTCCCTTTTTTGTTGTCTTCTTCTTCCCATCGATGGGAAGGAAGCCTGGGAAGTTGGGGGCACCGCAAATAAAGGAACCTGCTACAGAGGTCGGCACCGCCTATAGGTGTGACGATGACAAAAAGGCTTTGCTTTGTTTGGTCAGAGCAAAGAGACGGATTAATTAACGGCGACATTAAGCTGCGTGTGGCAGAGCTCATCATCATCTTCCTCTCTTTGGTTCATCCAAACCTGCGAGGAAGAATTTGCTTTGGGGGAAGAAGATATTGGTGTTGGGGAGTGAATCCTGCAGCGTTCTCGATGGAGATGGCTACCTGTTAATGAATGTGTCATGCGGCTGGCATTCTTCTTTCCGTCGACTCCAACCTCGGTTGTACGTTTTTTTTGTAAGGTTGTGATGACAGCCACGAGCGCCACATTTCAGCGTTTAGACAAGTCCAACACCAACGAGTAAGTAGTAGTAGGCAGCCATGGATGGAATTCCAAGTCTCTGCCCACAAACATTGAATTTGCGGGCTCCGATAATTGACTCATCGCCGTGGATTATTATTAGGGTTTGGCGAAGACCGAGATTGTTGATTCCCGTTCCAAAATTATATATATATATATTGGGACCATTTCCATTTCCATGGATCAGCGTATTTGTCCAAGTCGCAAGCTGTTCCAATTCCAACCATACCACTTACTTAGCTCCTATATTAAATTGAGATAAACCATTCAAGTATATGTATGTCCAACTAAGAGTGATGTGTGTGTTTTTTTTTTTACCCTCTCATTTAAATGATTCTAGTCGATAATTTGAGTCTCAAATATCCTAATAAGAAGAAAAAAGAGTGAGCACAAATACTTTTAAATATTCTTTGAAGAACTTTATGGACTTAACTGGAACGAAAGGCGAAATCGACGTCTAAGTCTTTCTTAGGATGCATTTGAAAACACATTTAATGTATTTTTTTTTTTATAGAGAAAAGAGTCTGAGTGAATGTATAATTATGAAATTGCATTGAGTTTTTGATAAATAATAGATAAAAACAAATGCTAAAGATGCTAATTAATACTACCACAAGGTAATAATATGAGCATTTACAAATGTGATTTAAAAAATATTAAATAAATATCAATTCACATTTGATATATATATATATATATATATATATATATATATATATATATATATATATATATAT